TAATTTTGTGCTGTAGTATCAAGTTTAGAAACATTACTGTTATTAATTTAAAATAATTTTCGTTGATCGATGTGATAGTTTGATCAATGAAGTTTAAATAGAAATAAGTCCATTTACTGTGATTTTTACTTGAGTCAAAGGTTTCGAAATTATGATAGATTATATGTTTTATTTTGCACATTGATATTTTATGAAAGAATTAACATCTACAAAGGGGTAGTCTTTTGAGCAGAATAAAATAAATCAGCAAGGGTTAAAAATTTCAGGGGTTGAAAATTTGAAACTCGAAATAAAGCAACGAAAGTTTTCGATGATCAAGATGATAGAAGGAAAATTTTCAATCGTTCGGTTTCGTCATCGTAGAAGCCATTTACCCGACCCCTTTTTCTCGCCGCTCTCGACACGCTCGCCCCTACTTAACGCTTATTCCACGACAACCCCCGTCGTCGACTCATCCCGTATCATCCCCTTATTCTACGCGTCTATCTAACCCTCCGTAAATCCTGACCAATGGCACACAAGCCAGGGGGAAACCATTGTCGATCCGACCAATCGTCGCGTCTCGTAGCATGCACATGCGAGATCGTCTCCGATGTGTTACAACGCTATTCTCTGTCTCTCTCCCTCATATTTTTTCTCTCTTGTCTGTTCGCGTCTCGTCCTTTTCCCTCTAGTGCGCGGAGAGGAGAGGGACTCTTTATAATGCATATCAATTTATGCCTAATGGCTAACACCGTTCTACCGGGTCGCATCTGCGGATTAACGGGAACGTTTCTTATCCCTCATGGTTTTTAACGCACCCCCACGATCATTGTGTCTGTGATCGAGGATGTTTCGAGCGGTATCGATGATTTAGTGCTGTTTAAAACGGAGCTGTTCGCGATAAAGTTCTCGGATCTTTATGGGGATTTGAAGCTTATTGTTTTGCTATACTCGGATTGTTTTTTAAATATTGATCACTTTTTTCTGACATATCTTTCATTCGTACTTTGCATACTTCTAATTAAAGACCTACTTCTAATTAAAGATCTACTTCTAGTTAAAAATATAAGTTACTACCATCGAAAGATTAAAATTTTTAATCGGATCTCCAGCAAAATGTACCGAGAGGTAATTTTGGTTAATTGTAATTAAAATCGGAGTTACGAACTGTATAAAAAAATGTCTGGAGATAAAGGCGTCGAGGTAGGCTTCAAGGGAGAGAAATCAATTAAAATTCATTTAACTGCGTGTCGGTGAACGAGCTAGGCCCTCTTGCAACCCCTTTCGGAATAAATTGGCATTTTCAAAAAACGCTCCACGCACCGTTTCACGCTTTGTCTCCGTTCGTTCCCCGTTCACGCGCGTGTACGTTCACGATGCCCCTTTATTGCCTCTCCCCTACAACTCTTTCATCCTTGTACCGCGACGGACAATAGCGATTCGACCGGAATTCTTTGTTTTTATCGCGAAAGCTCGCACAAATATTTTGCCTCGCGCGAATTCACCGGTGTTACGTAACAAACTTGCTGGACGACACGTTTCATCGATCTCTCGAATTCGTTCATTATCGAAACGTGAAGTGGAACTTGTGCGATGAGGACTTTTATTATATTGCAATTTTTGTCGATGATAATGGTTTGTATTGTGTCGGGATGAGAGTGTGAAGGTTCACGCGTTTGATTACTACGCGATAGATAACTACGCGTTAGATTACTACACGTTAGATTACTACGCGTTAGATTACTACGCGATAGATTACTACGCGTTAGATTACCACGCGTTAGATTACTACGCGATAGATTACCACACGTTAGATTACCACGCGTTACATTACCACGCGTTAGATTACCACGCATTATATTACCACGCGTTAAATTACCACGCGTTAAATTACCACGCGTTACATTACCACGCGTTAGATTACCACGCGTTACATTACCACGCGTTAGATTACCACGCGTTACATTACCACGCGTTAGATTACCACGCGTTACATTACCACGCGTTAGATTACCACGCGTTACATTACCACGCGTTAGATTACCACGCGTTACATTACCACGCGTTAAATTACCACGCGTTAAATTACCACGCGTTAGATTACCACGCGTTAAATTACCACGCGTTAAATTACTACGCGTTACATTACCACGCGTTAAATTACCACGCGTTAGATTACCACGCGTTAGATTACCACGCGTTACATTACCACGCGTTAAATTACCACGCGTTACATTACCACGCGCGACATTACCACGCGTTACATTACCACACGTTACATTACCACGCGTTAGATTACCACGCGTCACATTACCACGCGTTACATTACCACGCGTTAGATCACCACACATTGGATTACTACGCACTGCATTACTACGCGCTAGATTACTACGCGTTGCATTACAACGCGTTATATTTCCACGCATTTAACCCTCGCACATAGAATTTCTACGCGTTGTGCTTCAACACATCCTATTGCCATGCGTCGAATAGCTAACCATTGAATCTCTACACGTTGTATCTCCACGCATTAAATTGTCACGTACGGATTTCTATGCGTTCTGTTTCTACGCATTGTATCGCCTCGTATGGAATTATCGCGCATACAATTACCACCTACTGACCACGCGCTATATGGCCGCATACCAAACCGCAAGACAAACTTGACACAATTCTCCACATATTATTAAAAATATAAATACGCAATATGCAGAAATGCATTTACTTAATAACAAGTAATATATGAATTGGAGTATGTACGTTATTTACATCGCTGACGCCGTTACCATTCCAGGATTAAACAAAGAACAAAATATGCAAATGTCCTAGCAAAAACAACGTAAAAACCTTGATTTGCAGGAGACGTGTAAAATAAATTTTAAGATGCCATTAAGGTAAAAGAACTTTAAAGTCATTTCGCGTTACACAAATTTCGAAGAGGCTATAATGAACGTATTTAATAATAAGCACGTTATATACTTATTTTACTTACTGCGACAAGTTTTAAACGTCCGAGAGAAATATGAAAGTATTAATATATCCCGTGGACCAACATCGAAGAATAATTTAATGAAAAAGGTAGGCCCCGAGATCGTTGTTGCAGAAGAAACTGAATTTTGATGAATCAATGACTGAAGGGAAAGAGTTTTTATTTCCAAAGGAAAAATTTGATCGTGCGATCCGTTGTCTCTGATAGGAGGGTTGTTTGATGATGCGCGCGTTGAATCCGTGGGACCGGAAACACCGTGGAATCCGACTGCAGCGTTTAAACACACGATCAACAAGGATATGATACCGCGTTTCCGAGTTTCTTAATTGAATTCTCACCTTGCCGAGATTGCGTACATCATTATAATCCGTGAAACATGATTTTTAGATCTTCTATGATGCTTGTAATAACGTAATCACGTAGTTAAGCACGGATCTGTATCTTACATACATTTTTACCGGGTTCTGTATGAAAATTCATTGATCGAGACACTGATATAATTACGATTATCAAGAATGAACATCTAATCTTTATTGCTGAAATGAAAGATGAATGAAACTGCACTTATTCTGCTGTTAACAAGGAGAACCTTTGGTGCGTTCATTTGCTCACAATTTGATACAATTGTAGAGGGCGTTAATAATATAGATTACACAATCTGTTTACAATTTTTTAATTTTTAAATTGCCAGACGTCTGCACTTTCCGACGTTTCGAAAAGATTAACGTATTAAATCTCCACATTCTCAAATTTCAAGACAAAGCAATTATTGAACCAACTGCTAAAAATTCTCCGTCATCTTCCCCTATTTTTAGTCACCCAGAATATCGGACAAGACTACTAACATAAAAGGCCTAAAACCCTTGCAACATTGCAAACATCATACGACAGATGTACGTCGCTAACGAATTTACGCGTCCCTGCCATTTGACCGAAGTACGCGAAACAGGACGCAAAATCGTGCGCGACGCGGCTCAAAACGAAGAGAGAAATTGAAGAAGGAACGCGGCACGTTTCCCCCCAGGGCGGACAATAAAACTACAAGGTGAAATTAGTAGTGACTGTCTGGAAAGGAATCTCGGTGTATAACAGCAACCGGGTCGAGAGAGATCTGGCTGGTTGGACGACTGGCGTCTATCCGTCGGGGACCAGCCAATGAGATGGCCCGTTCGTTCATGTGGAAGCATGTAAATACATTGTCCACGGGGACGCGGGCATAAAACGACACGATATATGGCCCGGTAATTTCTTAATTGCGCCCCGAAAAATTCTTGTCATCGTAAACAGCCGGTTGATTATATTGAAACGACTCGAGGCGCCGGGGGCGTTTCGTGGATGAAACGAGCTGGTCCAAAACCAGAAAGGACACGGGGAAGGAGAGGGGAAACGAAAAAAGGCGATGGTAACTGCCCACCATGCCTTTATTTATATCAATCTATAGTAAAGCTCACGTTGCTGGAACTCGGACGATTTTATTGGAGATTACTATTTCTTTGTTCTGATTTACTGTCGCATTAGCTCGGTTATAGGCAGATCAAGTGCCCGCCGAAGAGATCGCATGATAGGGAAAAAAGATGGCGAAGATAAGGATGAGAGGGACGGTGAATTAAATTCGAACTTGATTTAATTCAAACTCGACGTGATTTAAGTTCGATGCGATTCGAACATGACTCGATACGATCCTAACTCTGTGTGCTCCGACTCGAACAAATTTGATCATCTACTCGATCCAAATTCGTCTCAATCTAAACTCGGCAACATCCAAATCTGACGCGATTCCTTGTCATTCAAATTCGACCCAAGCTCAACTAGATTCCAATTCTAGAAATCTAGAGTTTTCGTCCTGCGTACTAGCGCGCCCTAACGGCTCGATCATCCACTCCAATATAAACCTAGCCTAACCATCAAAGTAGTACCAAATCATAATTTGCCAAGATGAGTCTAACGATGCAAGGAGAGTACTTCGACTCCCATACCGTCTCGGCCTCCTTCGCAGCTCCATGGAGTACAACATGAAGTCCCTACTCACCAGTATGAGTCCTCTTGTGGATCTTGAGATTCTCGGACCTGGCGAAAACCTTTCCGCAGCCGGGAAACGGGCAAGGGAAGGGTTTCTCTCCGGTGTGCACCCTTATGTGATTGACGAGCTTGTACTTGGCCTTGAAGGCCCTGCCGTTACGCGCACATCCTTGCCAGAAGCACGCGTGCGTCGTGCACTCGGGCCCGCCCACGTGTTCGACCGTGAGGTGCGTGACGATATCGTGGAGGGAGTTGAAGAGTTTGCCGCACAGCTTCCTTCCGGGTCCCGGCGCGTCCTGGTCGACCCACATGCAGGACATCTCCTGGCGTTGCCCGCCGGGTACACCCGTAGCACCGCCGCTGCTCCCGTTGCTCCTCATGTACCTCAAGAAAGCACCATGGGGGTGATGGCTGGGATGACTGACGGCCGGGTGTTGTTGATGATGAATCGACGCGGGGGTCAAATGCGGCGCGCCCAAGTACTGATGATGAGGAGGTAGCCTCGAGTCCTGCGGATAATGCCCGGGATAATGGCTGGCCGCGAGGGGATGTTGGCTCGGATGGTGAGGAAACTGTTGCATCGTCGCGGCGGTGCCGTCGTGGTGCAACGGGGTAAATAGACCTAGGCCGCTCTCGGGGGTGGTCGGGTTCGCGGTCGCGTTGAACTCGTGCTCTCTGCGTAGCAGAAAGTCGCGAGCCGCGTAGCCGGGGTGATGGCTCATGTGGTGGCCCATGTGCGGTGCCATGTGCGACGCCGGATGAGGATGGTGAGGAGGGTAGCCCTGGGGATGGAAGTGGTGATGCTGTTGGGACGGAGCTTCGCCCGGCGCGGGTTGCACACCTGTCCCGGGGTCCGTGGATCCTCCCGTGGCCCCGCCACCGCCCGGCGACAGTTTGATGCCCAGATTGGCCAGGTGGTGAGGGTGCGAGGGCATACCGTCCAGAAAAGCGTTCATCATCGTGATCGACGGATCGAGCGTTTATCAGTTAACAATCTGGGAGTTCATGTCTCGCGAACGAGTTACGGGGCTTTCCGCTTTCTGCCTCTAATTTTCCCCGGAAGTTTCTCACTCAAGTATCACTGGCAAAAGTACACTGTCTACGCGATTACACTATACAAGTTCACTGCTCAGATCCTTGCACCGTCCATCTATTATTCACTTAGTCCAACGAACGTTGCTCCAAATGGTCGTTGCGCGCGTGTCTGCGCTCCGAAACCTAGACGCGAGCACTCGACGGATCCGGATAGTCTGTTCGCGTTAGAAACGACGACCTGGGAATCCCCTAGAACGTTTCTTCCCCCCGATTTCACCCTGGTGACTCTGCGTATCGCGCCGAAAGCACCTACGGTTCGATGTTCCAGCCGCGTCGACGCTTACGTTTCGCGCTGACGCTGACGATGACGAGCACGACTCGCGTCAACGTCTCCGACGCACCGAACAGGGAGGGTGAAACATCCGTGGTGTTCCTTGCTGCGTTCACAGCGGGACTGAGAGTCGGCACTGGGCTCCCGCCGAGGAGCAACTCGGCCGATTTCGGCGTTTACGAACCTGCCCTCTCTCTTTGTCCCGTCCATCCCTTCTTTCGTCTCTCTTGCTCCCCTTCTGCCTTTGCCGCGACCTTCTTCGCCCTCTCTCTCGCTCTTCGGCATATGGAACGACCGCTCGGGCAACCTCGTGCGTCCTCGGCCCACTCGTTCGCTGGAAACACCCTCTACCCCCACTCAAGGTCGCATACTGCAACCTCGATGCAACCAAACGCTCCACCACTGGCGGACGTTCTCTCGTGGATACCAGCGTTCCATTGGCGACGATGGCACCACTGCCAATTGGAGACCCACCGGTTGCCCAAGCCTCTCACCAATCTGACCAGTTTTCATGGGCGGGATAAGCGACACGGCGCATGTCGCGACTCCGCCTTTCGTCGCACGCCTATCGCCAGAGGATGGCCACAGAAGCGTCGCGACGTCGATGCCCGACGAGCTCGCGCCCCGTTGCCCGGACCTGCCAACAGTTATCGCGTGCACGCTCACCGATCTTGCGTCGATTTCGAGCCACTTTCGATTACAGAAGGGTGCTTTTTAAAGATGGCTGATCATTCTCGTACCTACGATTCTAATTCTAGAATCAAAGATAATTGCTAAAAATATTTTCTGATACTAAGCTTCTTGAAAGCAAAGTAGCTATCTATATTTATCTAAATTTGATCACTTCTTTGAATTTAATTACAAAAATTGTCGATGGACAATGTGTTAATGTTAAGAATCGAATTTCAATTTTCTGTCGTGCAAGATATAACAGTGCAAACTATCCACATTGAAATGTCAACAGATAGACATTCTATAGTACCAGTTCCATAACACGATGTTCATATTTGTAAACATTACGATATTAATTAGTATCGATTCTATCAATAGACTATGTACCGATCCAAAACAGTCTTCACGTCGTCCTCGAACGTACCTGAAGTCATTAGTTACTCATAATCACAACATTTTGCAACAGGCAAATAACCGCCGATCATAATTTATCGTGTCTTTCGAACTTGGCCAACGATGACATCGACGGGGTAAAACTCGAGCATAGCCAGTTCGTGCGAGGTTTAGGAACGCGATTAGCGGAAAAATATCGAGGCGCTCGGAAACATGGCGAGTCACGCGAACCGCTCGTTTATAAATTACCGCGATGGAACGAGGTGGAAATTTCTCGGTTGACGTTTAACCCTTTGCGTCGGAATCTAAAAGTGTATATCTGCACGCGTAATCACGCAACCGTACGTTTACTTATCCAATTAACCGAGTTTACTCGCGTTGCGGGCTCGATTAATTACCGGAGACACTCGGCAAAGTCTTCGCGCTTCCGCGTGCGAGAACGCTCGCGGATCGAGAGGACGCGGAAGCGAGCGCAAACGTATCTCGCAGAGGGAATTAAATACTCCGATATTTCAGCGTCGAAATGACTCGAGGCGAGGTGAACTAGCGTTCACCTTTCTCAGATATTTTTTTATTGTACGCTGCGAAGATGAACGAATAAATCGATGCGGTATTAATTGCATCTCGACTGAGAAAGTCAGAGTTAGGTTAAGAGGTTCACCTAGGGGTGTGAGTGTCAAGTAGTTTGTTTAAGGTATAGGAGATTTTAATTGCATCTCGACTTGGACAATCAGAGTTAGGTTGGACAGTTCACTTGTTGGGGTGAGTTTCAAGTATTTAAGGTATAAGAGATTATGATTGCATCTCGACCTGAAGAAGCAGAGGTAGTTTAGGAGGTTTACCTGGTGGGGTGAGTTCCAAGTATTTTGTTTAAGGTATAGGAAATTATAATTGCATCTCGACTTGGAGAATCAGAGTTAGGTTGGACAGTTCACTTGTTGGGGTGAGTTTCAAGTATTTTGTTTAAGGTACAAGAGTTTATAATTGCACCTCGACCGGAAAAATCAGAGTTAGTTAAGAAATTTACCTGTTGGGGTAAGTTCCAAGAATTTTGTTTAAGGTGTAGAAAAATATAATGGCACTGGCACATTCAGTTTTGTTATGGCCATTGTAAATAACGTCTTAATTACTGCGGTGAAGGTGGCCATATTTAGTAAGACTAAATTACACGAGCCTTTAATTATTAAACATATAAATAGTTGCTTTTCAGACTCACACTTTCAGTTGTATACCTTATTTTTATTATAGTAATATTATTAGTAATAATATTGCACCGAATTTCAAAAGACCACTTAAATTCCTACGAACAGTGAAAATTAATGACTGGAAGACCTGGAGGTCGTATAAGTCAACCTAGGCCAATAAGCAAATGACCTTAAAACCTGCTAATACTGGTAGAAGAAACCTAAACCCTTTCGGAAAAGCCGGTTTTTCCAGGGGCTTGGTTTCATCGAATCAATTGAACAAATGAATTGCACCACGGGATGTCTTGACCTCGTGCTCGTCGTCGAGGACAATAGGGCATATGAAGATAAATTTGTGTCTTGTAGAAACATTTATAATTTCTTCTTTTTTGCTCGATTTCCATGATACATACTTTAGAAAAATAATATTACGTGTTATGATACATTATCACGTGTGAATTATATAATTTTATGTATCGAATTGTATAATTTTATTTCATCGTCAACTGAAGACATCGAGTGTCACAAAATTGGAAGACAAAGATTATTTTGAATATTTTAATAACAAATTTCCTAGTATTCTTTCCCATAACCGATTCACAGTTTCGTGACCGTAATTCGTTATTGTTTCGAATTACCGTTGCTACCATAACTCTGTTTTACAGCATTGTCATCAATGAAGATAGGATTACTGGGCCATTCTACCTGCTTTCGTGGATCTTTGACCTGCTTCGACAGGTTACCGATCGTGAGTTCCAATAATCTGTTGACAAGCAAATGAAAACCCGACACGTCCGATGAAAATGAATGTGGTCAAAGTGAATGCCGTTTGCGGAAACGAACCAATAACCATCCCTCTATTACAGCTCCACAAACCGGTCTAATTGTTCAAGTTTATATTTCCGACAAAATTTCGAATCCCAAAGTCCCTGTTCCTGTGGTTCTTTTTATATTTTATCAAATACTATGAAATTTAGAGAATGTGTATGATAACTTTTGCAGTAGATCATCGCAATTTGGTGTATTTTTATTTTTAACTTGAAAAAGAAGTGGATAGGTGAATGGGTGAATGATGAAACTGTGGGTTGGATTTAAAAATTTTTTTAATCTTTACATCTGTAAATTTCTGTATCCCGAAATTCCTATATCTTCAAATCCACACAGCGCTAATTACCCTGCAACACTTCAACATCTCACCTCCTCAGATTTAAAAGCAACCTAGTAGCTCTCTCCATTCGTCTCACCCCTTTCCTGGATAATTTCCCCATTTTTCTTGAACGTTCCAACAATCGAGGAAGACAGTGTTTTACATACAACGTTCCGTGTTGGTCTTTCAAAGGCTGCCAGTCGATATATTAACGGAGCTTAATCTTGCCTGTGAGTAATGCGAACGCATCGAGTGTTTAACGGGGGTGCCTCATTGTCACGGGAAAAAATGGCGTCCCATTATGTCCGTAATGGGCACGGTGGCTGACTATTTCATATTAATAACTATCATAAAGCCGGACTCGTGGCTCCTCCGTGCACTTACGAGGCCAACGTCTGAATGATGCTTTCCATCCACCTTCTGTCGCTTACTAACAGCACGAGACGCTGCTCGTCGCTGCACTCGCGCCAATCGCTCCTTCCTCGAAACCTTGCTGCAGGTATTTTCGACCGAATTTACCCTGCACTTTTATATCCCGTTCGTCATCCTCTTCCGTTTTAGACACGGAAACCTTTGTTCGATTTTGATGCGCCATTTTTTTCGACCTCTGCTTTTGACTGAGAAAGATTAGACAATTATTTCTACAAATAGAGCGATCTTTTACTTATTTGTTATTTATGATCAACCCTTAACGCTAGAACTACCAACCAGTCAAAATGACTGGTTTCAGATTTTTCATTTTATACTACAAAATTTTATTGTCGTGATTTTATGGAAATTTCTGTCATTTTGTTGAAGTAAAGACTAGTTCTATATGTTACTTGATGATTTAGTATTTATTTATTTCTCTTTTCATTTTATTTTTCATTCTTCGATATTTAGTGTCGGTAGTTCTAGTGTTAAATTATTTTTAAAAAGATTTACTGTGTTGTTTTCTTTGGTCAAATTTTGTTAACCACTTGCACTATCTTGACGAGTTTCATGACGCATTCTTGACGCACTTTAGCTGTGGTCAATTTTAGTCCAATTTTAAATACGCTGATTTGAAGTTTAGTTATAGTTTGCATAGTCAATTGCATGATACACATTGACATAACAATTCATTTTTCTTCGTCTGTTTTAATATTGTAGGAAGTAGTTAGTTCTAACTGACACACCTGACAAATAAATCATAGTGCAAGAAGTTAAAATAGGGATTTAAATACAGTTCTGCTACATGTATGTTTTTAAAAGTATCGATGCATCTAATTGTCTTCGGTCAATCTTTATATGTTTCATATAATATAAATCTTCAAGTATCTCTTTTCTCTTAAAGACGAGTGAACCATGTCCAAGAAATTTGCGTCTTTACAAAAAAACAATAAAAGTACGTTCCCATATTTAGCCGGTGATCCCACGCAAAAACAATGTAACGATTGGCGAGCGTATTTCGCCGAACCATTAATCTAAAAGTCTGCGATAGAACTTTCATCGCGGGAGAGCGGTTGCAAGCTCGCGAAATACCGTATGCACCTACGCGCTCGTTGCCGGAGCCATCAACAAGCCAGACATTGTTTCGTTCGTTCATCAGTCACGCTCTCTGCGGTCATTACGTTTAATTAATCGTTAATTGTAAGATCGAGGGGAACAGAATCGCACGATTCGTTGCATTGTCATGGTCAATGCCAACATCGATTCTCTTCACCGAGTTTTTCTTATACATTTCTTGTTTTTGTATTTACGTAGGCTTTGTATCACTTTCGTTTGCGTTATTTTTAAGCTATCTTTTAGTGTTGTTCTCTTCAGGTACCG